AGTGAACCTTAGACAGCATATTATAGACATAATGATAATAATAACCCATACGTCTTAATAATTAGCTCATCCAGACCTCGTCACTGTGCAGTAATAAGCAGGTTCAGACTGGATTTTTACTGAATGCAAGTGGTGAGTTACAATTGTGGTCAGTGGAACTTTGCATAATTTTGTTCCAGTTATGGGCATTTAAAAAGATAATAATATGGGTGACAAAGGGTTACTGTTCCCCTTGAACATGTCTTAGTGAAGTGTTGGCCAGTCTTCAAGTCGCTGTAATTCTCTTGAAGGGATGAAAGACCATTTTTCTAAAATATATTCAGTCATTTGTTGTTTTGATAATGTTGATGGAGAGAGAAGGGTTTAACATGTTGATCTATAGCCAGCACACACAACAGGATACAAATGTTTCATCACAGGATAAAAGTGATCACTCAAAACAAGTGTGTGATGATTTGCAGTGACCTTTCCCTCTAAGGGAAACAGTCGTAAACAATCTCAGCAAAAACCATAATGGGTTCAGATTCCTTCACTATAGACGTCAAAGGTTCAAACTTGTCTTTTGTGTTTTAAGTAGACTGAATGATCCTCCAAAGACCTTAATGCATTATCTAACTCTAAATAAACTGTATATGTTATCATAGAAAGCCCAGGTACAAATCAGTATGCGATACTATTAAAATTAGTCATGCAGTATACAGTGACTAATGCATGAGTGTCAGGGAATTTAATTAAATCATTTGAAAAAAGAAAAATAGATAACAGAACCGTGCAAAGGACTGTGCACAGTTTAGCATATGAATTAGCAGCAAAGTGCCTTCGTGATTTTCAGGATATCTCATGAAAAATGCAGATTTATGCACATTTTATGCATGAAAACGAAGCAAACAGCATCAAATTGCATGCATATCAATAAAATGAAAAATTTTGAGCTGCAGGTTAGCAAAAAAAAAAAAAAATCAAAAAGACAACATGAGCGTAATTGCGACTGCATAGCAATCAGCAATCACACCAATGAGGATGCTTATTATGGTGATCAGTTCATTAACTGGATGCAAGCTTATTCATTTCATAAACATAGTAAGAAATTCTTATAAAGGGTAAATACTGCAGCAGCAGGAGCAGCATTTTGACAGTTCTTTTCTTTCTATGAAGGATTCATTTCAGTTTTATACATCAAAAAATATAAACGAGCAACTTCAAACCAATCAATCTTGTCAATTCATTAAGATTCTTATTAACGCTGCAGTCATATTTTCAGCTTCATAATTTGCTTAAACCATTCCGTCACACAAGCTGAACCCCATTTTAATGAGCATCATGTCTTCTCTTGTCACTGTAACCTGCGGCTCCCTGAAGACACAAACACTAAACCTGCACAACAGCAAAACAACAAAGTTCCACACATGTAATTGGCTTAAAATATTAGAGGGGAGCGGGTCAGTACAATTTTATAATAGCGATTTCTCAGTGCACCAACATGCGAGTCAATCTTTTTATGGTTTGCTGCACAGTGCAGCTCTTCTCGCACTGCAGTGGATGTGTGTGATGGTTAATCGTGGTTCTATACCGCCATCTCGTGGCGACATTGAGCACCACGCCCTGGTGGCAGGAGAAAGGAACACGCCATGATTTGAGGAGGTTAAAGAGTGTGACTGTTTACAGAATTAGTTAATGACGGACATGTCACACCTTTCTCGTTCAAGGATCTTTAAAGGGTTTTGGATGCAGAGACACAAAGTGGCCAGTGTGGCTGGACTTAAAGACAAAGCAGGAGTTCTTGTTGCATCAAAAATGTTCACATCAATTCGCTGCATTCTTCTAAAATGCATGCTCAATTGTCTGTCAGTAAACCCAAACGACATTTATCTGCTCAGCTAGATTGCAATTACTCGCAGCCTCTATCTCCTGCTACACTCCATCTGATTGGACCACTATTGATATTCCACAGACTGTGAGGAAAAACAATTGCACACATTATTTTATATTCCCGTGGGAGTTTTCTGTCGAGACAAATGCTGTATTGCTCTCACTCAGGCTGCTACATCCTCGAATCTACCACCCTGAGATGTGTTTTGATGTTGTGATAACCTTCCACTTCTCAGCCTCATTCAGTCCAGATTCAGGCTCCAAGTCCTGTGGGGAGGGTAACAGGCTTCACACTATGACTCATCTTATCAGTTTTTACACTGATATAAGCGATAGTTCCGAGAGGCATACAGCCACCCTAAAAAAATGATGCACTGACTGTAAGGAAAGATGTTATTTTTACAGAGATTTGTTGTCCAGTTGAGAAACTGGTTTAACACAAGTAACAACACAATTGTAACTGTAATGTAATTACTTCATCCACAGTATTAAAATACAATCTACTGTAGAAAAGTGAAAAATATAATGTGATGACAAAAATACTTTACTTTGGAACTGTTACACCCAACGCTGTTTTGAAATTGGATGTAACAGTGGGTGGATCACTTCACTTTAACATAACTTTGATAACTTGTTGATCACAAAATAAGCCCCCGCTTTGCATCCTTATTCAGCTCTGATATGGATCTTAACTTATAAAATGAACTTAATTTTACCTTTTGTATGATGCATTAAAACAAATACCTGGAACTGAACTCTCATCAGAAAACCTTTAATTTAAACATTATTTTTGATCGACCACTATGCGCTTCTTTTTGCCTATAAAAGGAGCAATATAGAAAAACCCTTTGATGAGTAAGTGTTGTGAAATCCTTGTTTCTAGTATTTCTTTGTGTGCTCTGTTTGTTTGTTTTTTATGTTGCTGTCATCAACCTAATTGGTTGGTTAGGCTGCTCCACCCTGGTTCTGCTGGAGGATTCTTCCTGTTTAAAGGGAGTTTGTCCTTCCCACTGTCTCCAAGTGCTTGCTCCATGAGGTGACTGCTGTTGTGATTAGTCACTACATAAATGCAATTAAACTGATAGACTTGTACTATTTTAGCTAGCTAACGATCAAACAACATCTCAGTCTCCTGAGAATCAAACAGTGGATCATAAGAGCCAGTTACTGTTTCCACATCTTCACTATAACATGCTGTTTACCAGCTCTTGTGAATGCATTATGGTGCTGCATGTAGTTATATGACCGCATGCTTCGTGTTGTTAGTTGGTGCTAGTTGACTGAATGCTGCTTGGAGCACACTTGTTCTGACATCTTTCAGTATTCTCAGTACATGCTAAAAGGTTGTGATAATGTTTTGCTGGATATGTCAAAGCCAAGACGTGACTTTTTTTCTTGTAAATGTTCTAGAGAACTTCCTGCTGAAGATATGTAGTCTATGTCACTGTGGAAACCCACGATATATAAATGGTGGAGGAGAACCTGAAGCTGCAGAAAATGCCTAACAGAGTCAAGCTGGCAACCATGAGTCTTGAGTGCTGAAGTGCAACTGCAAAGCCATGTCAGCTTTGATTGGATCAGATTTTCATCTTCAGGGCCACAGATAGGTCAAATCCAATCAGTTTTATCTCTGCAAGCGATGCTATTCATGATGAATGCAACACGGGGACATGCAAGCTGCCTCAAGTCTGCATTGTTCATGGTTATTTAAGAAGACTGCATTATTTACATGGTGTAAACAATATCAAGGATATTATCAGCTTCATTTAGCAACCATGTGAGCACCACAGGGCTACGACACAAAATTTTGCTTAGAGGGTATCATCAAGGCATTCAAGCTCCCTCTCATCACTGAGCAGGTCATTCCCGATCAGAGAACATAAAACATCTGCCACGCAGAGGCCCAAATCTGCACCTTTGATACGCGTCACATCATGATCTCTTTTAAAGGGATTTCTAGATTCTGGGAGATTGATCCAGTAGAGGATCAGGATTTACAGTGTGAGGATTATGAACACTTATATTGGAAACATTAGAGCATTTTACACCTGCCAGCACAAAGATAAAAACTTGAGGTCAGACAATCAATCCTATCATTCATGCCCTGAGGAAAATAAAGTTAAATATTTAAAATATCCACCAATTTTCATTTTAATATTACTGTAACAGTATATGAAAGACTTTTGCCCGGTTCGACCCTGTTTAGATCTCATTTATGTTTATTTTTTGTGAGTAACTGTGTACATCTACATCAACTGTAGTTCTAACTTCTAATAGATTTGTTGTGGTACAAGCAGTGCAGCGTAATGCATGTATGAAAAAGTCTTTAGATTTACAAAGAACACAAACATATACACTCAGTCCTCCAAAGCTGGACTCTGCTGCAGAAATACTTTTTTTCTTCACCCTTTTAATAAAAAATAATTTATTTAATAGTATAAGGAGCTTGGAAAGAAAAGCATCTGGACTTTTTTTTTAAAAGTTGGTTGAAGACTTATTTAATAGTTTGCCCAAATTCTCTACTCTAGATGATGAAAATGTTTTAAAAATTCAGTTAATTTCCAATTGGAAGCACCAAACAGCAAAGTGGCTTGGTATGTCTTTAAAGAAAAGCAACCTACTGAATTCGCCCCTTTAAAGAAATGTGTGTTTGTGTGTGTGAGAGAGAGAGAGACGACCTCACTCGGTATTCTGCTGAGTCAGAGCTAAGGGAGCTGGAGGGCATTCCAAACATCTGCAACACAAACACATTTGCATGTCTGAAGGCTAGCTGGTCTCTGATTCTGCATTTGTAATTTTGATTCTGGAAAATGATGCGACTTTCAGACTGCTGTGTTGGTTGATGATGCCATAGTCATACACAACACTATAGTTACTATAGCTGTATAAAGAGTGTCAACAATGAACACGTTAAACCTCTTTTTTTATTGCTATCATTCATATTCATACACAGACTAAACATGCATAGTGTTACTATTTATTTACAATAAGGAAACTGAAGTCTATATTAACATGGTACTACAGTGTATAAATAGATTGTACATGAAGATGTCCCAAGAACTGTGAGGCTGTTATAATAGCCAGTGTCTCCTGGAAGATTGACAGGTCCCACAAAAGGACAGAAAGGGGGGGGGGGCAGTCCAACTGTTGCTCCAAACATGTCCAAACGATCTTGTTTGCACCTTCACCGTCAACAATGCTGTCCATTTAGAGCAAACAGGCATTTACATTGTAGTTGCAACTGTGGAGCCATACCTTAGGACAACCTTACGACTCTGTGCGTCCACACTGACAAGATGCTTCAGTGGTTGCTTTTGTGGTTCTTTGGCTCCATATTGGCATTCATTTCTTGTACTTTTCACTGAGAAGATTACTATCAGAACTATGACTGTGGTGCCATATTATATAAAACCTGGCAGTCTATGTTTTATCACGTTAACCTTTCCCCCAGATCAGTGCGTCCAGAGAACACAGTCACAGATCATTCATTTCTTTCAAAGTTTTGAAAAAAAGTGAAAAAGAAAACAGAAGTTTGAGCAGATTCTTACTTTAAACTCAGATGACAGACCAAATCAAATGAAAATATACATCTTGTTCATGAAACAGTCTTTTCTTACTCTTTAGTGATGATTCCTCTCTATCATGTTGAACCAAAACAAATCAAGCAACGGAAAAACCCCAACAAAAAACAAAAGATACGATTGACAATCATGCAGGAAGAGCATAAACAAAAAATATCCTACTTTTGTATTATAATCAGACAAAGATCAATCAAAATGTTTGGTAGTTGATGGTATATTCAAAAATGGTTAAAAGGAGAAGTAGAAGCTAAAATGAAGCACATTCAAATATGAACAATTTAGCTCGTCACTGCACACTGAGAAGTAGTTCTTAGAAATGGAACCTCTGAGACTTGTATCATGGTGAAACTTGTACCAGTTTTCATATTAAATGAGTGAGATTATGTCATAGCAATACTGAGTACAGCAATAAATAAACATGCACTTCTGATATTCAACTGAATCCTGTTTTCTATCTGAAATATGAACTTCATGCTATTTCAGAGTTCTTCAATGAATAACAAACATGACATAACTTGAAAAAATCTCTTGGGAACTAAAGAGAAACGAAGAGGAATGGTTGAATTAAATTGAAGTCTTTGGTTCTTTGGTTGGTTCACAACGCTGACAGAGAATGTGCTGTATCATCTCAACTGAAACAGTTGAGAGTTAACAGTTTACAAAACTGAAGAGTTCCACAGTTGAGTACAGTCGTTTACATGCACTCATAATGTTCATGAGGGTCATTTTGTGTTTTTAAGGTTTTCTTTGAACTTGTCTTTTCCAAGGTGGGATGATTGTACAACATCTTTAATGATTGTAAAGAAAAAAAAACAAGAATTGGGTGTTTGAATTTCTTTAGATATTTGCAAATCTGCACAGCCTCAAACCTATACATAAAGGCTCAAATATAAAGCATGCCTTCAAATATTCAAAGTGCCGCTCAAGGTTCTCCGATGTCTTTTAACTTGACATGGCCAAGGCCTATTAACTTCGTTAATAGGCCGTTCGTGATCATCATTGACAAAAAATGTTTTTTTTTTGCGAGCCCTCATTCAATTGACCAGTACTCATGAAAATGGGGAAGTCCAAGAAACTCAGAGAAGATCTGAGAAAGAGAATTGTAGATTTACACAAGTTGGTCAAGAAGGTCTCTTGGCACCATTTCTATAAACTGCAGATTCCAAGATTGTCAGGTCAATCAACTTTATATCAGTGGAGGTTCAAATGTTTCACTAATTTGCCAAGGTCAGAAAGAAGGCCCAAAGTTTCACCTTTAAATGAGAGTAAATTAGTTAGGATGTTTAGGAACAACTAATAAACCACTAAGAAACAAGCTTGCAATGAACTGGAAACACTGGGACACCAGCGTTACTATCGACAGTAAAGTGAGTTTGATATCACCACAGACTAAGAGGGTGCTATCTGAAAAAAAACCGCCTCTGCCTCAAAAGCTCACATCCAATTTTCCAGCTGCCCATATACAAATGCTTTCTAGAGAAAGGTTTTATGGTCTAATGAGACAAAAATTGAGCTATTTAGCCACAATAAAAAAAATGTGAGACTTTTAAAGCTAAGAACACTATACTACTAGCCAAGCACGGTGGTGCTAGCATCATGCTCTTGGGCTGTTGTGCTGCCAAGGGTCTTAATACATTCCATAAAGTGGATAGAACAAAAAAGAAAGGAGGAAATGATTATAACTTGGATACAACTGAATGTACAACAGAAATACAATGATCCCAAACACACATCAAAACAAGTTTTGGATGGGACAAAGCAGGCTAACACTGAACATCTGGAATGAGCTTCCCAAAAACTCTGATCTCAGCCCCATTGAAAATTTGTGGTTTACGCTACTGAACAAAAGTCTTGCTTTTTAAAGTTATTAAAGATGTATCATATACACAATCGTTCCACCCTGGAAAAAGAGCAGTTCAAACAAATGATTAAAACCCCAAACTTACCTTAACATCCATGCCAATGTTGAGTGTATATAAACTTCTGACCCAACAGTACCTCAAACATTTCTATGTATTTTCCATTTAGATAACTTTCAGATGACAACATCCTATTTAAATATTTTATCCATTTCATATTTAAATCCATCTTAAAATTTTTAACACTTTAACTGTCCGATCCATTGAAAAACCACAGTGAAAACACTACCAGCCAACCCATAGAGAGAGAAATACTGCATATATTTATCACTGTAACATAGTACCTGTCTGTATTGGTATACTGTATGTCTGCTGTCCTTTATATTTACACCTGTGTTTTCCATTATGCCTGCCAGTTAGTATGGAAACCCAAAAGCTCCAATATAAATAAATAATAATACAAATAAACTGAAGTATACAGATGATCTAATGAGATTATTTCAGACACTATTAAAATTAAGCTACTATAATTTATAAGAAATGTTTTGTTCTACAACGTGATTTACAGGATGCCATTTTCAATGACGCTTTATTTCATGTTAAGTTTTTCATTAGATATTAATACTTTTTCTTACTAAAACTGCTGTGGAAGAAGACAACATATTATTCATGTGAAAAATTAAATAATAATTTTCAGTATGAACTTTTTTCAGCCTCTTACAGAGAAATTTTGACCCACTCTTCTGTACAATATTGATTTAGTTCCGTTACAGCTCTCTTAAGGTGCCACTACTGCATTTCAGTCAAGTTTGAATGTTGTGCAGTCAAAACACCTTGGTTCTTTTCTTTTCCAGCCATTCTGCTGGAGACTTGCTGGTGATCTTGTGATCATTGTCCTGTTCAATGACCCAATTACAGCCAAGCTTTAGCTTCCAGGTGGCCTTGAATTTATCTCTAGAACACTTTTGTGTAAAGACTCCTGTGAATGTTTCTTTTTTCTTTTTTTTCTTTTTTTCACATGACTATAGAAATTATGTTCCTACAACAGTCTTGCTAGCTGGCAGTTATATGTTTAAAAGCCTATTTTATTTTTGAACTCACAAGATTAGTCAGCGCTCTAAAATCTAGCAATTTGATGAAAAAGAAAATAACAATCTGGACTGAGAAGACTGAGAAGCTAATCTAGCTGGTTGGCTGGCTAGCATACTCTAGGCTGGGATTTAACAAAAGTAAAGAGTATTTCTACATCTAAAGGCCGAGCACATATATATATATAAAATCTCACTCTATTTATTAACATGAATTTTCATTTGTAATTTGATATTTATTTATTTAACATGGATCCCTTTGGACTTCCATATCTTGGAGTGTGCAGGTGTGCTTCCCTTTATGAAATAGCAGAACAGATTCATACCGTGACAAGTGCCATTAAACTGTTCATGATAGCCAGATTTCCAGAATACAACTGAAGGTATCCAAGGCCACTACATTTATAGAAATGAAAAAAGGGTCATATGCAGGCTGGGAGAAACAGTACTGCAGCGAATTAAAAATAACTCACACAAGGACACAGAAGAATGAGAGCTTTCAACAATGAGTAGAAAGCTCGTCCTTTGGAGGTTTATATTTCTCAACACATGCTCCATTGTAGTGATTTTTCCACCTCCCTTGCCTGTCGTTTTCAGCCCTCTTCTGCCATCTGTTACTTTTGCTATTTCACTCTAAATGTTGTGCCTGCAGGCAGAAACAGGAGTTGTAAAATATCAATGATCAATCCATCATAAAAGAGACTCAAAGTGGAATGTGAATTTGTTCTCACTCAATAGCGCAGGTGAATTCTGTCATAAAGCCTTCAATTACAGCTCCATCCTAAAATAAATATTAAAGCGTGACAGAATTTATAAAATATCACCATGTCATAGTCAGGTAGGCCAATTTTTATCAAAACCAATTCCATCAAATTTTAAGCAATGTCATAGTTTGAGTACTTATTAATATTTAAAATGGAGCTGCAATTATGAGCATTCCCTTTTTCCACCAGAACAATCCCATATGACAATGCGACCTCGCTCATGAGTCCAAATGTAGAAGTTTTACACATTCAACCCAAAACACACCTGAATTACACTTACTGTACGTATGTACAGTAAGGTACACTTATTGTCTACTAACACTCTCCATCTTAAACTCTCCTGGACATATGCAGCACTTAAACAAATGCTAAAAGTACAGATAATATGTCCAGTAGAGTAGGTTAACAATGACAAAAGACAGTGGAAAGGTGACTCTGGAGTAGTTGTCTATATGGTGGGGGTTCTCCACATGACAACAGTGTATGGCGCGCAGAATCTTGCGGAGGGTGGCCAGAACAGTGAGGCACCAGTTGGTGTGCTCTGGAGGTGCCGCCTCAGGCTTGGGCTCACTGCCCGAGGGGCTAGAGGGCCTGACAGCGAGTTCTGTTGAGGCGGGAACTGAAGGAGAAGTTGCAGCGGGCTCCTTGCGCCTCTTGGCCCTGTTGGAGTGAGTGGAGATGGTGGTGATGATGCCGTTCATTTCATCATCAAAGTCGTACATTCGGTGGCCGTACTGCAAGATAGAGAAGAAAGATTAGGTTTGAATTAAAACAAAAACACAATGCGTTTACATCCGAGAAATCCAACTTACCCCAAAATGCTCATGGTGACATGATGATGACGATGACAATGACAGCGACCACCATGATGAACACAATGACTGTGACAACAGTAATGACCACAACAATCAACAGTTAATGTAAGTACATCCAGGAGTATCTCACCATGAGCATGTGTGCATCAGCGTGAGTGAGGGTGCAGAAGTGGGCCACAGCGTACTCAATAAGTGCTCCGAAGATAAAGCTGAAGCAGATCCCCAAATACACATCGATGGCCTTGATGAAGCAGTTGGCATTGGGTAGTGATGTCCGGGCTCCCATCATCAGAGTTGTCATGGTCAGTACTGTGGTCACTCCTGGCACAGAACACAGACAGTGGTCAAGTAGGATTCTTTGATGAACCACTAAAGACCTAAAAAGAAAACCACGTTTTTTTTTTGTTTTTTTTTGTTTTTTTAACTTAGCCTCAGGCCAAGGTCAGCTTTGAACGGGAGTTATTGGTTGTAAATGCAGAAATGCCAATAAAAAGCTAAATGTTGATAACCCAATGCATTTCAACAAAAAAATAAAAATACAAAAATAATCCAGCTTTTGCTCTTCATAGCACCAGTTTTACCAATGGAAACTCAGGTGATGGTTTTCGTGTTTCCTGGCAATATGCTGACATACTTTGTAAAGAAAATGAAACGAGGCGGGATATTTGAATGGAAAACACAATCCATAAGTATTATCCAAGTTGAACCCTGCACTGAGTTGCACCTTGTAATCTCACTGCTGACCTTAGTGTGCAATGAATGTAACAGCAAATGATTGTCACGACTGGGCGGCCAATACAGGGAAGAGGACTCAGATGCAGACACCACATGGAGGCTCGGAGGTACAAACTCAGGGGGCTAAGAAACTGAATTAACTCACTCTATGGCAGGCAAAAACTTCAGTGTTACTAGATACAATACTAGAATATTTGGACACTATGAACAAAAGCAGAACTACGAAGCACTAACTAGGCTAGAACTAACTCAGCAATAGTCACAAAACATGAAAACATAAAACAAGAGTCAGACTACGAGTGCGGCAGCAGAGTCCAAAAGGAAAAAGTCTCTTTAGCCGGATGGGGGAGCAGCCAGGGAACCCGACACCAGGTTCCAGAGCAGGCACCCTAAGGTGGAGGTTAACGGAGCTACGCTCACAGAGTCATTATAAAGGTGGAGGCAAGGCTTGGGCGGGGGGGGGAGTAAGGTCCGGGCGAGACTAAACCAGTCCAGGTTCACTTACTGTGAAAATTTACATGCTTAGATGTTTCCACTAGATACAACTTCAAGAAATGATCATCTAAAATCACAAACTGAAAATCAACACTACCTACCAGTAAGTCCCTGATCTCAGCTTCACTGGGTAAAAGCTGAAAATTCCAAAAGTCAAAACTATCACAAAGGAGAAATCCCTTTGTGAATCCTCTGGTGAGGTCCATCAGTTGGCAACCATTACAAAACAATACTCAACACAGTGTTAAAAATAAGCATTTTAATTTGTCCGGTTACATCTGAGCCCATCAGAAATTGCAGATGGTGCATTTAACTTCTTAACTAAAGATGAAAGTCTACACTTTGATTGCATCTCAGTCACTTTAGGTTTACTATGATGACTGACAGAGAGCAGGACACAGCAGCAATAATAACGCTTAAGTTGCAGTGTAAAACTATATGACATTTGCTCAAAAAGAAATGTTCTAAATCTGATTCTGATGATTGAATGAACAGAAAAATGGATTATCCCATACCTATGCAAATACGTGCTGGAACAGAAGACAAGGAAATCCAAAATGAAACCCATGAGAGGACCACCAGCAGGCTAGAGGGGACATAGGTCTCCAGAATGAAGTACAGAATGCTCCTCTTCAGCTCAAAGTGGAAGACAAGCCTGGGATAATTGCCTGTAAGAAGAAAGACAATAAAAAAACTAAATTTGAGTACATTTACATGTATTGATGTAATGCACAATAGTCTTTAGTAACAAAACACTTCTTTTTAAAGAATTAAACAATGGTTTTGGTTATCATTGTTACCAGTTTCATAGATGGCCTCTGAGACAGATGTGTAGTGGTCTTCTACTGTATACTGAGCCAGCTGGAGACTGTCTAAACCACTGACAGACTCATTTCCTCTGGTCCAGTAGAACATAACATCATTTATGTTGTAACCCCCTAAAGAGAAGAAAAGATGACAATGAAGAAAGCTGCTCTAATTACTATACAGGATAAAATAATTAATTTGATCAGTGAAATTTATCTGTAACTTTAATGATTGTGTGCATGGAAGCAGTGGGAGAGTCTGCAAGCAAAAAGCATATAACAAGAACAGCTACACAATTTATTATGATATTATCATAATAAATTAGGCAGAATTGAAATTTAATTTTTTAAATACCAGTGTTGTTGTAAAAAACACACACAAACAATTTTTTTCTCTGGAACAGTTAGCGGTTTAATGATTTGTGCAATAACTGGTTGATGAGCTCTGATGCCACTTATGCTGAAATGAGTGTGTGTGTGTGTGTGTGTGTGTGTGTGTGTGTGTGTGTGTGTGTGTGTGTGTGTGTGTGTGTGTGTGTGTGTGTGTGTGTGGAGGGGAGGGTCCTGCTGAAGAGCTTAACTCTTGCCTCTTACCATAACAGACTGATCATGCATATTGCACTGGGCCCTAGAGGGCCTAGATAACCCAAATAAAGCTTGGAAAAAGAAGGCATGCAAAATTAATATGATCAAAGATGCCACGGTTAATTGTGGTTGCACCTTTGACAGAGCAATGTAACAATGTGTAATCGTATCAGTTAGTAATAACTAGTGTTTCTCGTGTAAAAAAGAAAAAAATAAGGATAAAGTGTGATTAATAAGGCTTAACTTCTTAGGTGTATTTTTCTCATTTATCTGCAGAGGGAGCAAGAGAATAACAAAAGCGTGAAGACACGCTGTTGGCAGAAGCTGGTGTGCACCTCAGTAATCTGCCTTGCATGAAACGCTCATTAATTCTCTCTGTTTAAACCCATATGGAGTCATGTATTATTGACCAGAGCCACAATACTAGAAGCATAGCTTTCCTAATGAAGGGCAGTGGTGACTTTGAACCTGAAAGGTCCAATAAATTCACCTTTTTATATTTCATTGTAATTCTCTTGGTAGAGGAAGTCATTATTCTTCTGACCTAAAGCCCTATCGTTACTGTACAAATTAAGAGACACAGATGGTCAGTGGCAAGCTGTGCAATAGCATGGAAAGAGTTACATTCAGTGCCCTGTAGCAAGCAGCCAAGAGTGTTGTATTTTTTTGAAAGCGTCCCCACAAAAATTTGACTTACAGCCATGATTACAAAAGGCCGTCACTTTCTTTTGACTCTTTTTGCTGTCAGAATGCGGAAAATATTTTACCGCAATCTTAATTTAAATGCCCCTCACCCTCCCACGACGACGCTCTCTTTAAAGCCTCCTCCTGTGCAGAGGATCCACTTTTGGCACAGCATTAAAAGAAATAAATCCTTGAATATACATCTTCATAAAGAGACACAGAGACCAAGCAAGCGGGAAATAGAGATTGAAGGAGAGGAGGACAGGAGGGGAGAGAGAGAGCGAGAGAGATGGAGAGAAAGCAGCAGAGATAGAGAAGCACGATGAGAGCGAAATGGCAAAGGGGGAGGGGGGGGGGCATACAGACACAGAGAGAGACAGAAGGAAACAGATGCAGATATTTAGCCTGGAATTATTAAAGCGGTGAAGGAAGGATCCATCATCCTCTCAGTTACCTAACGTTAACCTCCAGATGCCTTTATGCCTGCTGTCAAGTGGCACTGGAGCTCCAGCTAAATGTTTTATTTGGCACTGAGGTCCTGGTGGGCTTCTGGCAGGGATCTGACTTAGCTTAGCCCAGCTGCCGTCATTTAATAGCATGGAGCAAAAGCAAGCTGGGAAGCAAAGACAGTAGATGAGCAGGTGGAAATAGTGGAGAGGTGTGAGGAAGGCTTTTTCTTCCAACCATTTACTGCACAAGGCAATGAAAATGTGTCATAATTAGGAAAAATGGTCTCCCATTTTCAGCAACGTGTCACGAAAAATATACACTTTTTAAAAAGCGAGGAATTTTTGCAGTGTTGTGGCAGAGGTTTTCATTCTACAGTTATTAGGGTACGTTTAAAGGATTTGTAGGATTAGATGGTTTTGGTTCGAGAGACCCTAACTGACCCTGCAGTATAATGACTGTGGCTTTAAGATTATTCAAAGTCTAACTGAATAGTTTGACATTTTAGGAATAAACTTGAAACTGTGCATTAAAAGCCCCTTTGAATTTATATGAATTTTGCTGTGGCACGCCAGCTATTGTTAGATTCATTCTGTTTGCTTTAATAATTCTCCTGAATGGACATGCGATCGTGGTGAAAAAGAAAGTATACCCCCTGTCAGCTTTTTATGTATCAGGCCATAATAAATACAAATCTGGTCCTTAGCAACCTCAGACGAAGTACAAAGCCCGACATATTACACCGAGTCATGATTTAACAAAAGCTAAGTTCAAGTGCAGAAGCAGGGCATGAAAAATTAAGTACAGCTGTACTGTTTCCACAAGAATTAAGAGGGAAAGTAGCAGCCAGGTGTTCATGATCAAACTGATCTTCAGCAAGTAACACCACGTCTATAATAGTAAAAGTTTTGTCAGTTCACTGGTCTGAAGCAGTCAGTTGTGGGTTATGCAATGCCAAGGAGGAACGATATCTGCAGTGATCTTAAAAAGCAATTCATGCTGCCCATCAGTCTGGGAATGGCCACAAGGCCATTTCCAAAAAAATTAAAGTCCATCATTCTACACTGGGAAAATGTATCCACATGTGGAAAACATTCAGGACAGCTTTCAATCTTCCCAGGAGCGGACATATCAGCAAATATAGCCCAGACTAACAAGCCTCAATGGGCATGTTAAATGTTAAAGTTCATGACAGCATAATTAGAAAAAGACCGAACAAGTCTGGCTTGTTAGGAAGGGTTGGCAGCAGAAAGCGTCTTCTCGATAAAAAGAACTTGACAGCGCATGCTTTGCAACATCACATCAACATCACAACCATATCCTTTAGTTTTCTACAAATGTGTCGGTGTGTATTACGATCAAGCGCCTTCACTTTGGTATTGTCTTTCCAAATGCAATATATCAGCACAAACACCTGATACCAGCTGTGGAGCACGGTGGAGGAGAGCTGATGATTTAGGTACCTCTGTCACACCAACCCTCTGTGTGTCCTCCTTCACTGCATCCATGAATCTCTCTGTGGTCTTCCTATTTTAGTCCTGCCTGACAGCTCCATCTTCAACATCCTTTCTCAAATATATCCACTATTCCTCCTTTGCACATTTACAAACTATCTCAGTCTTGCCTCTCTAATTTTGTTCCCAAACCACTCAGCCTGGACTGTCCCTCATATATAATATTTCTTATCTCGTCTATTCTGGTCACTCCCAGTGATATAATTTAACATCTTCAGCACCACCACCTGTTTTTATTTTTATTTTTTATATTTTAAATATTGTCTGGGGAAAAAAAAATCCCCAGTAACTGGTGATTCTGAATTGATGATATGTGTGAATGATTGTCTGTGCGTTTTAGCTCTGTGATAGACTGTGATAAAGGGCAGGTGTACCCTGCCACTAAGCTGCGGGCGCGCGCAATCGCGCACTGCAGGCACGGTGTCTGCGCACAAAAAATCTAACCTAACCTGAATTGCAATTAAAATAAATACGTTAACAATTCATTCTGCAGTGTGAGTCAGTAAGTGACCGGTGACTGGGTGCTCCAGCCAATGATGCGATTCACATTCGTATATACGCCGCTAATCAACGTTGTTGACAGACTATGGCAGCGTCCTTATGTGCCGACACCGGTGTTTTAGTTAGCAAAGCGGCGTGGCTGATGTGGAGTGAAGCCATGTTAGTGACAACGTGTACAACCATTGGAGATGTGAGCAGGACAGACGGAACAATTGAGGGAAAAAGTATGGACTTTATACCAGTTTTTAAATTGTGTTGATAAGCCAAGTAAAACCAGAGTTATGATAAACAAAAATATGCAACGTTTGGTTTTCTTCCTGAATACTGTCGTTGTTTATATTTACTGCGGGAAGAAACAGTAAAAACGGCGTTTTATAAGGAAAACGCTCGAAAGCCTGTGAGCAATGACAACACAAAAACCTCCACCCTTTCCTATTGGTCGAAAAATGTACCATGTCGACCAATCAAAAAATGATATGCCAACATAGCATTTATTGTTTAGGAAGGGGGGAAGTTTTAGGAGTGACTGCAGTGTTTGGAGATGCGAGAGACGTTTAGCTCAAATATGTGTAGTTAGTGTGTAGTGTAGTCAATAGTTTGGTTGTGTGTGTCAGAACAATGAGGCGACTGCTGAATGTTACAGGAATACATCTCCTGTTGTCAGGCCTGCAGGCTGTTGTTCTCCTTTATCTCATAGTGGACAGAAATTATTTTTTGGAGTGGCACAAATAATTTGTGTGGCATCAGATTTGATGCAGAACAGCTGATTGTTCTGTAAATAGTTTGAAATGTTTATTTAAAAAACCGCCTTGGCAGCATTTTTAGGTAAACAGCTGCAAAAAACTTTGTTGTTTGCAACACTCAGTTACTTTTTTTGAAGAAGTAACTATATAATTAATTGCCCAACATTGGTCATCATATACTGTATTTTGCAGACAGAGAGTTACAGGACTCTCTCCCAGACCACAGACTCATACTCATAATACAAGTCAGAGCTTTATTTTAAAAAAAAAAAGAAAAGAAAGAAAGTTGTGTTTTCAAAATTGGAGTTCAAGTTGTTTTTACTTCCAATAGTGTTAACATACGACACAGGTCATGAACAAGATTTATTTATTAATTTTCATTGTAAGTGGGCTAAAGCACTTAATTAAAAGTAGTCTAACATAAATGTAAATGCTTTAATTTGATTATTTTAATAAACCATGTAACTTGGATGGAGTCGATGCTGGCGTGACCACAGTGCACACGTCTGCTGTTGCTCACAGTGGTCCAAGGGACCGCTCAGGGAGTTTGTGTGTTCGCTCAGACACATGAAAAATGAGAGGGAACACTGATTAAGAGCTAACCATAGTTGGGACTGTATCCAGCCCCGCCCTGAGATTCTGAATTGGAAACGCTGTAAAGAAATGGGATGTTTTTACTTTTTCATTATTAAGGGTAGACAAATGCAGAAAATGATTTTTCCATTTAACATTCATAGCACAATACAGTGTGCAAAAAATGAATTAAATGAGAAACCCTGATAGTATGTGGATCTGTCTGCCAAACTGTTGTCATGCCATGTTTTTGTAATTTTTGCTTTCTTTTAGCTCTTTTTTTTTGCCAAAGTACGTTAGGGTCTGTGTGCAAAGATGGCATAGATTTTCTATACAAATCATATCAAGCTGAGCGTTGACAGTGCTGAAAAGGAGGGCACGAATTACAATATCAACAGAGTAATTCATGGTGGAAAAAGAAAACTTTTAGAAAGAAGGATTTTGTAACCTAGCAACAATGAGAGCTTAAGAGGAGTGCTATAAAAATGAGGTGACAGGCATTTCCAGTGCAAAAAGTGTTTTATGTGGACATGGACCCCTATTAAAACAGTGCTCCTCTATGAAATACTGTCTTAGCTGTCCAGGCTTTTCTTACATTACTGATGTCACCATGGAAAATATTTTTCCATTGCTATCTTTTCAAACAAAGAATGCACAGCTGCCCCAGTCTGCCATTTTTGCTCATTACAATGCTTCTGCTAGCTTTAGTATGTTTCAACCACAAGTAAAGTATTTGTAATGTTGTTAGCTGTAATAGACTTCATGCACTTACAGCAATGTTACCACTGGCTTGGATTATACTGTATGCCTCTCCTCTCTGGATTGAACCAGAAAGGTTTTACTTGTCTAAGTCACTATACCAATAAGGAAAGGCATCTGGTGTACAAATCTGCCAATGAGTAGCCAAAAGTAGGTCTTAAACAACAGCTGGGTGAGGGTTATTTTTATTTTCATGTCACCTATTATTACTATTTTTCTTACCATTCTCTTATGGTACATTTGACCAAACCCTAGCCCACAAAGTGCAACTGATGTTGTTGAAATATGGCTGTATATCAACCCAAGCCACAAGCCTTTTCCTAATATAACCAAGCACTTAGGTGCCTAAAGCAAAACATGATTAGACTCCGACGATGCCATCATGCCAGAATGGGATCCCAGCAGTGACAAAATTTAAGGTTGTATCCCTCAGGGTCTAGACATTGGTGATGGTCAAGATGAAGATGAAGGCTTAGATGGACCTGAGGTGCATGAACGAGTCTGAAAGGGAGAATGATGGTAAAGCAGTGAAATTTAAACCACATGGAGTAGAGGCTGACTGGCTCAAAGAAACTGGACTAGTGTAATGATGTCAGTTTTGAGTTTGAGTGTTTTGAGTGGTAGTGATGTAAAGAACAGACTAGCAGCTGAATATCTAAGAAAGCAGCAAAATGAGTGATTACAGATCTTCCGTGTTGAATTTGCACAAAAACTTAGTAATTTATTCTGGTGTATCTTTACGAAAGAGCACCATGAACAAAGCAGCAGCATTGACGGGAGCACTGTATCTGACATCGTAACAATAAGACTAGTTTGGACAGTTCTAATCCTCTAACCCAGTGGTTCTTAACCTGGGTTCGATCGAACCCTAGGGGTTCGGTGAGTCAGTCTCAGGGGTTCGGCAGAGCCTCCGCCCTGACAGGCGCGGCTCATTTTGTGCACCAGTAAAAAACATATCTATGTCTTGAATTTGGAAAAAAAAAATCATATTTTATCTTTCACTAAAGAGGGATTCAGTGACTGCACATATGAAACTGGTGGGGTTCGGTACCTCCAACAAGGTTAAGAACCACTGCTCTAACCCTTTTGGGGGTTTCTTCTTGTTAATAGGGAGTTTCTTCTCCCTACTTTCAACAAGTGCTTGCTCATAAGGGATAATCTCATTGTTATGGTTTTCGCTCTAATATTGCAGAGTTTTTACCGTACAAATAAAAAGCACCTTGAGGCAATCATTGTTGCAGACCATAGCACCCTCCCTACCTCAACCACTGGCTGTTTTTCCTCTCGTTGCATTTTTTTAAAATTTTCATTTTCTTGATTTTCATTGTGCAGTGTTTTTATAGGTGGTTCAGTTGTAACCCGAGGCACTAGCTGTATTTTTCTTTTTTTTCACAGCAGCAGTTATGTCCTTTATGAAACATTTCATCAAGACTGAAGTAAATCCAGTTTATGTATGATGTATGACATTCGTGCAATTTTACAAACACACACACACACAACCAATGCAGAACATGAAAGTGATCCATTTCATCCTTTGTTTTGATCAGATTTACTTGAAATTATGCCCACCCACCAACAACTCTGCCACAGCTTCAGGTAGCAAAGATCAGATTTTCTTTAAGTATAAAGTGGCCTTACAGCTCTCCAGTTGTAGCGTGCAGGTCTGCTTGTCCATGGGATACTTGGTCAGGTCCATGTTGCAAGCCACAGTGGTGGTAATCCTAGACAACAGAAATGTTATTTAAGTCCATGAAAAAGGTTACCAACGGCAAATGATATTTGTTATTCCTGGAGACTTTGAAAGCATGAAAGTGGCATACAGTATCCTTTTCAAATTAGCTTTTCCTTTAATTGCTTAACCTTTGGCTACAATCATCTCAGTGCTTTCTCATATATTCCCTCCAGCACAGCACTGAAACATTTACCACAGCTGTCCCTTTCCTCCAGCACCTCATATTTCTCACTTCACTCTGTCATTTTTCACAGCTCCAATTCCCCAAGGTGGTCATTTCTCTCCTGACTATCTTTTCTGGCTTGTTTTACTCTCACTAGTCGTGTTCTCTGACTGTGAAGCACCATCCTCCTCCACATTTTTCTGCCACACTGAAGCGTAGACGGTAAGCACTTCTTTGTATTGAAAGCAAAGGTCCATGAAGACTGGAGAAACTCTTATTTATTCCCAACAATAAGTCAAGAAATTGAATTTCGCTGTACTTAAGGATGACACGTGTTTTAAAAAAAGAAAAAAGAAAAAAAAGAAACACAACTCATGTTCACGTTTAAAATACTGTACTATATACGGATGGACTGTGAAGAGAGACTACCTAACTCAGGTTACTATAACATAACACCCACATACCCCACCAGTGGTCGATTTAGTTGACTGCACATGATTTGGAAAGGCACACACCTGTCCATATAAGGTCCTATGGTTGACAGTGCATTTCAGAGCACAATCCAGCCTGGAGTCTGCAAAAGGTACCTGAAGGACTCTCAGACCATGAGAAACAAAATGCTCTGGTCTGCTGAAACCAATACTGAACTCTTTGGCCTGAATGCCAAAAATCATTTCTGGAGGAAACCAGGCAGCGATCATCACCTAGCCAATACCATCCCTACACGTAAGCACGATGGTGGAAGCATCATGCTGCAGAAATGTTTTTCAGCATCAGGAACTGAGAGACTAGTCAGGGTTGAGGGAAAGATGAATGCAGCAATGTACGGAGATATCCTCGATGGCAACTTGCTTTAGAGCACTCCGGACCTCGGACTGGGATGAGGGTTTATCTTCCAACAGGACAATGACCGTAAGCACACAGCCAAGATAACAAAGGAATGGCTTCTGGACCACTCTGTGAATCTTGTTGAATGCCCCAGCCAGAGCCTAGAATTGAACGCCTGTTGAACAACCTCCCCAACTCCCCATCCACTGTTTGCAAGGTTCTGCAAAGAAGAATGAATCTGCCTAAAAGTAAGTGTTCAAAGCTTGTAGTGTCATACTGAAAAAAGACTTGAGGCTATTGTTGTCAGAGGTCAACAGAGTACTGAGCAAAGGCTGTGAATATTTATGTACATGTTTTATTTATTTATTTTAATAAATTTGCATGAGTTTGAAGGCATTTATTTCCACTTTGACATTATGGGGCATTGTGTGTAGAATTGTGAGGTGAAAAATACATTCAATCCATTTTGGAATAAGGCTGTAACATGACCAAATCTGGAAGAAGTGAAGCACTGAATACTTTCCGCATAAACTGTATATGGAAGAATAATTAAAAAAACAAAAGCATTGAGTCAATGAAGTCAAATCCAGATCATGGACAGCTCCTCAATCTGTTGATGAGTTGAGGTTACAGCATGTGACAGTAACACAGTAGGATGTTTAAATCCCTCTCACCACAGTTTTAAAAAAGCTGCCTGCTTGACTCAGTATCTATGAGTGCAAAGGTAATACAAATTTGAGAAGCCTGCCAAGATCCCATCAGATCTTAAGCCTTGCACACAGTACAATATCTGTTTCCCAGATCCTAACAGGACTTATGTTGCATTGATAGCCCACAGCTCGTTGTATTGCCAAATCACATGGTCCTATACTCATGCAATCCAATGCACAAGTAATAGAATTGACAAAACTCCCTGCTTCGCAATCACATTATCTCATATTCAACCCACGCTTCTTCCCTCAGCCAATGTTCCTATCCATTCCCCGGACTACTTTTCATTGTCTGTCAAAGCAGAAAACAATAAACAGAACAAGCCCATCAACGCACAATCTTTATTTGTTACCCCACCTTAGTGCGTAAAGGACAGTCCCGTTGGGGAAGATGCGGATCAGCCTGTTCTCCACAGTGATGTCATGGAGGAAGGATTTCTTGGAGTCAACAATAAACGTGTCTGGGACCCAGAGGAGCTCAACTAGCCGCCCGTCAAGGCTCAGGCTCTTGTTGCCTTCAAACACCAAGCGCTCATCAGTCCATCGCTGGCGGAGGAATATGGTGGCCGTGTAGTCCTGCAGTAATGAGGCCCGAACACGTCATTAGTAGAGCTGATACACTGTTTTTACAAAGCATGTCAGTAATGTGCTGACAGACAAGTCATGTTTTTGCAAACCGAGCTCAGTGTTGTTGTATTTTTACAATTTTTGCAATTTTTACATAGCCCAAAGCCCTTCTGTGCCTCAAGCAGCAGTAATTCAAAACATTGCTTCAAATCAGCAAGTTCTGTTCAAGTTTGTTCTGTTCTTTTAGCACACTGAACTTATTTTTTTTTTCATGACATTATTTTTCAAAGTCTTACTGTTGCATCATGTGAGACAATGTAACCATTTTCATGTGTTGCATGCTAGCTGTAAGCAGAATTTTCTCACAAAGCAAGCATTGCAGGAATTAACCATTCCCAAAGGAAAGTCATTGTTGCACTCACTATTTAATTAAGGTTGGTCGACCACTCTTAGTCAAGAAAGTCCAATCTCATATGAGCAAAACGAGTATGCACTTCCAGTATACTGAAACTTTTGTAGCTTAAAAAAAGTAAAGCGTGCGTGTTAGTCCCCATAGGGAAATAGTTCCTCTGCATTTAACCCATTCACCCAGTGAAGCAGTGGGCAGCCACCAGTGCAGCGCCCGGGGAGCAGTGTGTAGGGACGGTACCTTGCTCAGGGCTCAGGGGTACCTCAGGGTAGCCGTTCAGTGGAGTCGAACCCCCGACCTTCCAATCATGGGGCCACCGCTCTACCTACTGAGCTATCCCTGCCCTGCTTAGTTTTTTGATAAAGATTTTTCTTTTAAACATGGATTAACTCTTGAAAATGTGTTTTAAATTCTGTCTTCCCTACTTTTAATTTTAAGTTGCTTCATTGAAGGTCCAGCATGGGGATGATTATCTATGTCTGTTGACCTTACATGTCCTCAGATATGTAAGTTCCAAAATGCAATCCAAAAATATAAAGTGCATAAAATTCTTTAAGTTTTTCTTCCAAGGAGCTAGACTTTCTGGTAATTTTTTAAAGTGGTCTTAAGCAATAGTTTACTAGGCCAGCAATGGTCCAGCAATGACCTGACACAGGGCCTCAGAGTTATTCCACCACACTATTTGCTGAAGCGAAATAAATTATCTTAACAGAATAGTGGCGTCAAGAAGCAATTCTTAGGGAGGATAACATGAGAGACAAAGCTGAGGTATGCCAATTATACAAGAACTGAGCTGAAAATAAGTGACAACAGGTCTAATAGAGTGATGAATACAAATTCAAAGTTTCATCAACACGTATGGAGGAGTTTAGAAGAGGGATACAAGAGTGGGTCTCTACTTAACCCTATCTTTTCAAATTATTGGAATTGTAAATGCAGAAAAATACCATCAGATTTTGATCCACCATGTAATACCATCTGGAAAGCATCTGATTGGCAACAGCTTAATTTTTCAGCGGTGCGATGATCCCAAACTCAAGGCCAATGCAGCACAGTATATTTGTATAGAAAATACACAGTGGAAAGCTATCAGTCATGGACTGGCCTCCAGAGATCCTGGACCTCAACATTATTGAAGCGGTGTGGGATCATCTTAACAACGAACAGAATAAAAGGCAGCTGACATCCAAAGAAAAGCTTTGAATGTAGTTCAGGAACCTTGGAGAACTATTTGAGAAGACTACTTGTAGAAATTTTGAGAAAGCTTGAAAGTTCAGAAAGCTTTGAAGAATAAAGGTGGTCATACCAAAAAAAAAAAACGTGTACACATCGGGTTAAAAGAAGTGAGGAAAAAGGCAATAAACTTTTCATAACTGCTAACAGGTTTGATGTTTTTTCAAACATTTCACAATACAGACAGACTGATCAATAAACTCGGAAAAATGTTGTGTTCTGACCTGCATTGCACAGTTTCTTGTTGCATTTAATCAGTTTTAACCTTTGTGGTTTATTAGTTAGGGACCCATGAAATGTATCGATACTACCAGTCAAAAGTTTGGTAATGGTTTTTCTTTATTTTCATGACTATTTACATTGTAGATTCTCACTGAAGGCAACTATAAAACTATAAATGAACACGTATGGAATTATGTAGTAAACAAAAAAGTGTGAAACTGAAAACATATTTTAGATTTTAGATTCTTCAAAATAGCCACCCTTCGCTTTCATTACTGTTTTGCACATTCTTGGTATCCTTGTGATAAGCTTCATGAGGTCGTCACCTGAAATGGTTTTCCAACAGTCTTGAAGGAGTTCCCAGAGATGCTGAGCACTTGTTGACCCTTTTGCCTTCACCCTGCAATCCATCTCATCCCAAACCATCTCGACTGAGTTTAGGTCAGGTGACTGTGGAGGCCAGGCCATCTGGTGCAGCACACCATCACTCTCCTTCGTGGTCAAAGAGCCCTTACACAGCCTGGAGATGTGTTTGGGGTCATTGCCCTGTTGTAAAATTAATGATGGTCCAACTAAACGCAAACAGGATGGGATGGCATGTCGCTGCAGGATGCTGTGGTAGACATGCTGGTTCATTGTGCCTTCAGTTTTGAATAAATCCCCAACAGTGTCAACACCCCACACCATCACACCTCCTCCTGCATGCTTCACGGTGGTAATCATGCTTGTAGAGACCATCCAATCATCTTTTCTGTGGGTGGAACCAAAGATCTAAAACCTGGACTCATCAGACCAAAGCACAGATTTTCACTTGTCTGATCCATTCCTAGTACTGCTTGGCCCAAACAAATCTCTTCTGCTTGTTGCTTTTCCTTAGTCGTAGTGTCTTAGCAGTTATTTGACCATAAAGGCCTGATTCTCCTCTGAACAGTTGATGTGTCTGCTACTGGAGCTCTACATGGCTCTAATCTGAGATGCAATTTCTGAGGCTGGTGACTTGGATGAATTTATCCTCAGAAGCAGAGGTGACTTGGGGGTGGCTGTAGCTCAGGTGGTAGAGGAGGTCATCTACTGATTGGAAGGTTTCCTGGCTTCCCCTAGTCTGCATGCCAAATATCCTTGGGCAAGATATTAACCCCAAATTGCTCTCTGATGCATCCATCGGAGTGTGAATGTCAGTTAGAAAGCACCTAGGAAAAATGTGCTTGGGTGGATGCACAAGTTGTGTAAAGCACTTTGAGTGCTCAGAAGAGTAGAAAAGCGCTATATAAGAACCAGTCCATTTTCCAGCACTCTTGGTCTTCCTTTCCTGGGGCAGTCTTCATGTCAGCCAGTTTTGTTGTAGTGCTTGATGTTTTGACTTTGACTGAATATGTCACTTGGGGACACGTTCAAAGTTTTAGCAAATTTCTGGACTGACTGACCTTTAGTTCTTAAAGCAATGATGGACTGTGGTTTCTCTTTACTTAGCTGATTGGTTCTTGCCATAAGAAGAATTCAGTTGTCAAATAGGGCTGTCAGCTGTGCCAACCTGACTTGCCCATTAAGAAGGCAAGAAACTCCACAAATGAACCCTGACAAGACACACCTGTGAAGTGAAAACCATTTCAGGTGACTACATCATGAAGCTTACTGAGAGAAGGCCAAGGGTTTGCAGCGCTGCCAGCAAAGCAAAGGGTGGCTACTTTGAGGAATCTAAAATATAAGACATATTTAGACTTTTCTTTCAATTTTTTCTTTGCTACATAATTCCATATATCTTGCTCTATATATTTAATGTCTTCAGTATTTATCTACATTGTAGAAAGTAGTGAAACTAAAGGAAAGACCATTAATTAAGAAACTTTGATTGGTAGTGCATGTTTTCATTGTTTAATTTCAGAACTCAGTAGTGTGATACTCTTACCATGTTGATCTCTGAAATGGTGTCAATGCTGGCAATGTCCAAACTCATACCCACTGTTACCGGACCATCTAGAAAAAAAGAAGAAACCATTCAAAAACATACTGCTCTATGTTCACACACTGCTTACTCCCTTCACTTTTAGTCTACATTAATCTTTGTTAATAGTCTATCTGGCAGACTGACAGACAAACTAAAGTCTATGTTTTGCTTGAAAATAACTTTTTCTGTGGCACATCGAGAAAGGCTGAGCTGTATCATGACACATTATTATATATTCAGGTTGACCTCAGCTGGTTATGAGTGCTGTGAGTGTCACTGCCCACTCAGCTGTGTCTACACAGACACAAGTAATTTAGAAAGAAAACCAGAGGACAGAGTTTAGCACCTCTCTCACTGACCGCTGCCAAAACAGACTGAAGATCTCATTATGAGTGCAGCCTTGGGATGACACAGCTGCCACTGGGAGTGTGGCTGTAGCCACAGTTGGGCTTTAGTTCTCACAATTTTGGCTGTGAAACATTCACATTTAAGGCCACGCTTCTTATCTTATTTTCATGTGACAATCTAAAAAGTTCTTATGTTTTATGTTAAAGGGTTACAGCAGCAACATGGCATAAGAGATGCAAATCTAAAGGCAATGCTGGAGCCTCACTGCAGCAGAATGTTAAGTAGAGTTTTTGGTGCCAGTTGTAATTTTCACGCACACGGCACACAGAATCCAGGTGGAGGAGGGTCCCACGGCACCTGTTTTATATGACCAAGGCAGTTTAGCAACACTTTATCATACAAAGGTACAGTAGTGTGGCAAAAGCTTGCAAGGTTATCAAGTTTTAAGGTACTGATCATGGCATTAACAAAATAGATTTCTCAGGTCTTCAAAAAAAGAATTGTGGATACTGTTGCAAACAAAAAAACTGTAAATATTAGAAAACCATCTCTAACCATCTCCGAAAAGACCAGTGATACCTGTATGCAGTTTGCTGTCATCATGCAGACATCCAGCCAGCTTTTGGGCAGACCATTCTACAACTGTTTGTTGTAATGGATTTCACTGTATTAAATCATCAAACCCTTACAGCATCTCATCTCTAAAACACGGGGATGGGAGGATAATTTTTTCAGGGCTGTTTGGCTGCCTCAAGGGCAAGAAGGCTACCATCACTGATGAAGCAAAGCATTTTGAATCAGATCAAATTATGTCAGGAAACAAATGATCTCAGTTTTAAGAGAGTGTGGGTAATGCGACAAGAAAACAGTGCACAGAACACAAGATGTTCTACCAAAATACAGCTAAAGAAGAGCAAAGATTCGAAGCTCCAGAATCACTTAAATCCAACAGGAGTTGGACAAGAGGCCTGACGCAAACCAGTCATGTGAGGAAACCCAAACTTGAATGTATTGCTTTAAAATTATTCTAAGGTGATGTGTTAGAGGCCTGATCAATATTAACCAGAAATGTTTATTTGTGAGATAAAATCAAAGGCTCATATTTTATCAGGTCGAATTTGATTTGATGATGTTTTTTTTACTTTTAGCCTAAGACATTTGACAAAGACGACCAAAATAAATACAAAACGCAGATTTCAAAAGATGATTTCATTTAGTAAGGGAATAATGCTATTCAAGCCTATCTGGCCCTATGTGAGAAACTAAATGCCCCCTAAACCTGGTAACTGCTTGTGCCACTATTGGCAGCAAGACTGCAACCAAGCATTTGCTATCAACTGGCAATGAGTCTTTCATGTCACTGTAGAGGAATTTTGGCCCACTCTTCTTCACAGACTTATTTAATTTTAACCACATTTGAGAGGTTTTGAGCATGGATTTAAGGCTAGACTCTGACTAGGACACTCTAAAAACTTTGTTTTGGAAGTTTTTGAGCCATTCACGATAGACTTGCTAGTGTGTTTCAAATCATTATCCTGCCCAAATGGGCTTGACCTTCAGGCCATGACTGATGGCTGGACATTTACTGTCGGGATTTTATGATAGAGAGCAGAATTGATGTTTCTATCATTTACAGTTACTTTTACGACAGCTGTAACAGGATTCAAGCTTTCTATCAAGTTCATCTTTTGTCTCATCAGTCAAGAGAATATTTTGCCAAAAGTCTTGAGAGTGGTCGAGATGTTTTTGCCACATTTGCCAAAAACATCTTGACCAACCAATCCGTTGGGATATTTTTGGTCAGCAGTGGTTTTGCCTTCGAACTCTCCCATGGATGTCATTTTTGCAGAGTCACTTTCTTTTTTCTGAATGATGAACACTTACCATAACTGAAACAAGTAAGGCCTGCAGTTCTGTAAATGCTACCCAGGGTTCTTTTATGAGATCTGAATGATTCCTGGAGTCATTTTTTTGGAGGCCCACACTCCAGCGAAGATTCTCACCTGTTCCAAGTCTTCTCCTTTTGTGGAGAATGGCTTTCAACGTAATTCCCAAAGCCAGTCCCAAAGCTTTAGAAATGGCTTTGTAATCCTTTCCAGACTGATAGATGTGAGGGACTGTTTCTCATCAGTTCTTGAGTTTCTTAACACCGTGCCATGCTGTGTTTCTGTCATGTTTTGTTCAGATCCTTTAGCCTGCTTCACTTTGTCAGACAGGTTCTATTTAAGTGTTTTCTTGATTCAACAGGTAATCACACCTGGGTTTGGCTAGTGAAAGTGTCCTCGGGGGGGGGGAATAATCACTTTTTAACTTACGGCCAGTTATTTTTTCTTATAACCTTTCTTTAATTTAAAACTATTAAAATATCAACAAAACAAACACAGGAAAGGGAAAACATTCAAAATTTCAAATACAATGATCTGCAAAGCAAAAACAAAGTGTATTCGAAGTGGCAGTGGCTGTGTGTATATGTATATATATACATGGAGTGCAGAATTATTAGGCAAATGAGTATTTTGTCCACATCATCCTCTTCATGCATGTTGTCTTACTCCAAGCTGTATAGGCTCGAAAGCCTACTACCAATT